GACGATGTCAAGGAGTCCAGGAAGAAAAAGAATGTTTAGAAACTGACTGTGGTCGCAATTGTACAATTCTGCTTGATGTGATTGAACATACACACGATATACATATTAACTCCATAACAATGATATATGTATGAACTCCAAGTTAATAATAAATTAAAAAAAATAAAAATAAAATCAGGGAAAGAAAGGCAATATAATTTCACTACAGTTATTCAAACTGTTGCTGAAAAAATAATCTGAGAAACTGGGCTATGTGAAGGAAAACGTGGCATGGGGATTGGAGGAAGATTCAGGAACCTGTGATATGCAGGCAGCACAACCTTGCTTGCTGACAGTGAAGAGGACTCGAAGCACTGACTGATGAAGATCAACGACGACAGCCTTCAGTATGAATTACAACTCGCTGTAGAGGGAAAAAATCCTCACCATTTGACCAACAGGCAACATCTTGATAAACGGAGAGAAGATAGAAGTTGTCAAGAATTTCATTTCGCTTCGGTCCAAAGCCAATGTTCATGAAAGCAGCAGTCAGGCTGGGCACATTCGCTGCATAAGACAAAGAGGAAAGAGGTCACTAGGAGGACTAAGGGCCACCGGACACACGTCATAATATTTTTAATCACCTCGTAAGCAAGTTGTATGAAGAAGGAAGCTGGCAGATGCACTTGAAGGATTGATGCACTTGAATTATGGCTTGGCCAAGGGTATTGTTCAGAAGAACAAACAAATCTGGAGGAAGTATAACTAAAAGACCCTTCGCAAGGGAGGGCTGTGACTCTCCTTCTCATGGACTTTGGGCACAGTACAGGAGGGACCAGTCCCTGGAAAGGGACATTATGCTTCCAAAGTAGAGGGCCAGCAAACAAGGTGACAAGATGAACTGATACAGCGGCTGCCACAATGCACTCAAACAGAACCATTGTGAGGGTGGTACAGTCCCCGGCTGTGTTCTGTTCTGTTGGCCAGGGTCCTTGAATGGCAGCCTATTGGCCAGCACCCAACGACTATGACGTCACCAAGCACCGTGCGCATAGAAAAGGACAACATGGTTGGGATCAAGAGATGATTCTCTAATTGTCGGGTGCCAGGCAAAGGGCAAGAGAGGGAGAGTCAAATGTGGGCTCCTAAAAATCATAGGCACCAATGGGCCTGCCTCCTCAGGAGAGCCTTTTACTATCTCTTCCAAGGTTCCTTTCCTGTCCCTTACAGTTCAGGCATGAGGCACACCCTGTGGCCAGCTGCCTTGCCCCACTCCTAACTCTGCCTCTTCTCTCCTTTCTAGGCAGACATCTTCTCTGGGGCCATATTCATCAATATGGCCTTGGGTTTGGATCTGTACCTGGCCATTTTCCTCTTATTGGCCATCACTGGCCTGTACACCATCACAGGTGAGTCTATTGAATGCTCCCCACCACTCATGCCCAGCTCAGGGGTTGGAAACGGTCAAGGTTACAAGGAAGTAGAAGGCCTGATTTCTCCTTTTAAATAAACCTTCTCCATTTGAGAAGGGACTATTTGCTTGACCTCGACTCACAGACCATGCAAGTTATATGGATGGTCTCAGAAAGTTTCATTGTCAACTCGTGTAGTCAGGACAACTTCTCACAGGAATTGGGCAGGGCTTGGCTTTGTTGGGACCTGGCTAAGTTAGAGGAATCAGGGAAGGAGTGATAGGTTTAGGTCATGGCAAAAACAGAGGGATGGTGATGGTGGGGATGGATATGGCATGGGGCAGGGGGTAGGGTAAGCAAGCAGGTAGGCTTAGCTAAAGGAGGGTGGTCACTGGGAAGGAGTGGAGATGGGGATGATAGGCAATAAGGCTTGATGTTTCAATTAATTCATTATGGACACTTTAGGAGCTTTGGTGGTGCCGTGGTTAAGCATTCAGTTGCTACCTGATAGATTGGAAGTTTGAAGCGGATGCTGCTTGCTCCATGGGAGAAAGATGGGGTGGTCTGCTTCTGTAAGATTGACAACTTTGGTAGTCCTGGGGGGCACTTGTATTTTACCACCTCGTCACTGAGTTGGCATCAACTCAATGGCAATGGATTTGGTTTGGGTTATAAGCACCTTAGAAGCTAGACAGAGGCTTCAGGAGCCACTGTAGGAAGGGTAGGGACAGAGGAAGCTACACACAGAAAGGTTTTAGAGGAAGACTCAAGAGGTACCCAGAGGTGTTGGGGACATGAATAACAAGAGAACACCTTTGTGAGCGTGTGATTCTGTCCAATTCAGGGACAAAGTTAGTACTGGAATTTTCTGTTTCCTTGCAGTCCTCATTCTTGAGCTCCTGTTACAATTAACTTTTGCAGCAAGCAGTTACTTAGGTGGTTTGAGAAAAGAGCTATCTTGCAAGTACCCCTTTGAGATAAATTTGATAATGTTCCCAGGTTTCTCTGCAGTCAGCTCTTTCTTCTACCTTGTTTTTGTTAGTGGAAAATTTACCCCACTCACATAGTTAGACATAGAACTCCTGTATCATTATAGTTAGTTATTGAGCCAATTCTGACTTGTATGGACCAAGTCCATCTGCAGAGTCTGCAGACCAAGTTGCAGAGTCTCTTCTGATAGCCACTTTCATATTTCTTTCCTGTCTTTTTAGTGACGTTTGCTTTCTTCGTGAATGATGTTCTTGATAGCCTCCTACATCCCCTCAGGTCTTCTGTCGTTAGTATTCAATGTGTCAAATGTGTTCTTGAGATGTTCTCGAAATGTAGCTGGGCTAGATTCAAGGTTGTATTTTGGTTCTTCTGGATTTGTTTGCATTTTCTTCAATGTCAGACTGAACTTGCATTTGAGCAATTGATGCTCTGTTCCACAGTCCGTGTCTGGCCTGGTTTTAGCTGCTGGTATTGAGCTTCTCCGTCATCTCTTCCCACCGTTGTAGTCAATTTGGTTTCTGTGTACTCCATCTGGAGAAGTTCAAGTGTACAGTCACCTTTTGCATTGTTGAAAAAGGTATTGGCTATTAACAAGTCCTTGGCCTTACAAAATTCTATCATATGATCTCCAGCTTCATTTTTATCACTAAAACCATATTTTCTAACTACTGTTCCTTCTTCTTTGTTTCCAACTTTTGCATTCCAAGTGCCAATAATTATCAATAGACCTTGACTGCATGTTTGATCAATTTCCGATTGAAGTCGTTGGTAGAATTCTTCAATTTCTTTGTCACTAGTGTTTGTGGTTAGTGCATACATTTGAACCATAGTTGTATCGATTGGATTTACTTGAAGGTGGATAAATATAAGCCTATTACAGACAGTATTGTACTTTATGACTGATTTTGCAATGTCCTTTTTGGAAATGAATGCCACACCATTCCTTATGATTGTGTTATTTCCAGCATAGTAAATCATACGGTTTCAGATTCAAGATGGCCAATACGAGTCTAGTTCAGCTCACTCATGCCTAGGACATCAGTCTTTATGTGCTGTGTTTCATTTTTGAGCACTTCCAATTTTCCTAGATTTATTGTTTGCACATTTCATGTTCCAATCCTTAGATGATTTTTTTGTAGCCGTCTGTTCCTCTTTACCTTGAATCATGCCCCATCAACTCAGGAAGATCCCTAAGGCTCCACTCTTACGGGCTTTACTCCATTCACGTCACCATTACTGAGTCCACTCTGAGAAAACACCTTGTCCTCTGTCACATGTTGAGTGCCCTTGGACCTGAGCGGTCCATCCTCTGGCACGCTCTCGGATAAGATTTTGCTCCCGTTCATTAGGCCTTCATATCTGATACGCTTTGAAGCTCAGCATACGGTTTTCAGGGGCTTCTTCCTCCAACATGGGTAACTGAGTCCTTCTTCATGGTGTGTGCTTAGTTTTGTTGAAACTGGTTCACTTTGGATGACTCTGCTGGCATTGGGAATACCAGTGGCATAGCTGCCGGTAACACACATCTCACAGCTTGTCAACATGACAGACTGACAGACAAGTGGTGGGTTATAAATATACAATGCAATCTGCGTATTATTCGCCCACAAAGAGAAATGAAGTTCTGATACATACATGAATTTTGAAACCATGCTGGATGAAATAAGCCAGACACAAAGGACAAGTATTATATGACCCCGATGACGTGAAATATCTGAAATAATCAAGTGCACAGAGACTAAAGTTGATCATTTGAAGTGACCAGTGAAGGAGCGGGAAATGGAGAGTTATTTTTTAATGGCCATTGAGTTTCTGTCCAAGGTATGACACATTTGGAAATGGATAGTGGTGATGGCTGCCCAACATGAGGAATATAATTAATGTCATTGAATCGTACACATAAAAATGGCTGAACTAATAAATGCTTTGTTATCTCTATTTAATCAATGTAAGAGATTAAATTAAGGAAAGGGACAATTTAGTCTCTTCCCCATCAAATGGAGAGAAACGCACATCCTGAGAGGGAAGGAAAGGAGGTGGGTGTGTGAGGGGGTGTGCTCAGGTGGATAGAAGGAGAAGGCTGGGGTACGGGAAAGGTAGCAGCAGACAGGGTGCCTTCCCTAGGTGGTCAGATGCATGTTTTCTTGTTTCCTTAGGGGGCCTGGCAGCTGTGATTTACACAGACACCTTGCAGACAGCTATTATGTTGGTGGGATCTTTCATCCTGACTGGCTTTGGTAAGTTGGAGCAGGCTGGGGAGGTAAGGCCAGAGAAAGCCCATTTCTATGGAGTCTGTGTCAGACTAGAACTGAATTCCATAGGGGTTTGGGGTTTTTTTGGTTTTCCAGTAGACTACCAGACCTTTTTACTGAGATGTCTCTGGGTATATCTGGAGGTCCAATCTTTCACTTAGCAGCTTAGGGCATTAACGGTTTACACCATCCAAGGACCCTGAGGACGTGGTGTAGAGGTAGAGAAAAGCATTGGCCACTTGGCCAGCTGCTGCCAGCCTAGGCAGTGAGTTTGGATTGGACTTTGCTATAAGCAGGCAGAGGCCCCTCCTCATCTCTGGAAGTCTAAGGCTGACTTGCCGGCTCCTCCTTTTAGACAATCTGGTCCATTGGTCCCCACTGTGGGCTTCTGATGACATGGGCTTCTGTCCACAGTGAAACTGGACCAAAAAAGGTTAAGGCTAGTGTAGTGATATCTCCAAATGTTCAACTATTGTATTTTTAATCTCAGATGACATGGTCAACATTTTAAGGTTAAGAAGCCTTGATGAATTAATGATATTAGGAGATAGTTTCTTTTTAATGTCCTAAATTGATAACATTTTAAAATTTGTCAATGTTAGACTTCGTACCCTCCCAATTTTGCCAAGTCTTAGTTGCAAATGAGATCCTCGACAAACCTGGGAGGCCTTGCTGTAAGAGGATTTAAAATATATTTTACTTTCAAGGGAGCCTGTATCACCTGTATGTCCTTTGATCTCTTATCTACTTTGTATCATTCTGTTTTCCAAGGACTTTCATTTTTTCCCCCCTTCAAGCAGCACCTGGGGTGGGCAGAGCAGAGTTGGAATGACATATTTAAGGATACACAGGCAAGAGGTGACAAGGCTCCACATATTCCACACCTAGTCTCTCTCCCTTCCACCACACTGATGGGACCAGGTTGGTCTGATCTGGTGTTTGCATCTCTAGGTGTTTATCCTGTTCCCAAAAGGGCCCTGCTGGTAATGGGGACTGAAAGGGCAAGCGGATCCCTCTAAAACCAAGGTCTTCCTTTAATAATGAAAATACTTTCCCTTTTTGAGAAGTTTACGGTTCAAGTCCTTTGACTAATCATTGCCTGGGATCCTCGCAGTAGCCTGCAAAGCTGGGCAGGGTTCATTCTAGTCTATGGACGCAGAAGCTGAGTCCAGAGCAAGGAGTGAGTGACTGGCTCAAAATCACCCCTGCCCATTGGCTGGATTCTCTAAGTTTCTCCAAGTATTCTCAGGGGAAACACACACACACACACACACACACACACACACACACACACACACGATGAAGAGTTTCTGAGCTCCAATTGTTCATGTGTTGTCACTGATGTTTTCCAGCTTTTCACGAAGTGGGAGGATATGACGCCTTCGTGCAAAAGTACATGAATGCCATCCCAACCATGGTCTCAGATGGAAACATCACCATCAAGGAGCAATGCTACACTCCGAGGCCTGACTCCTTCCACATCTTCCGAGATCCTCTCAAGGGAGACCTCCCATGGCCTGGGCTTATCTTTGGGCTTTCCATCCTCGCCTTGTGGTATTGGTGCACCGATCAGGTACTCAAGCCCAGGACGCAGGGTGGATAGCATGTTCCCCAGAGGCATTGCCAGAAACCTCGCTGGTCCCCGCTTGAGGGATTTGGAAGGGTTGCATAGGGCTTCCATGGTCAGTGGGCCACTGAGCTCTGCTGTCTTGGGAGAGTCATAGCAGGCCAGGATCCAGGATGGGAGGCTTAGGTAGCAGAAGCTGCCGTGGAGACCTTGGGCCAGTATCCTTCATTGGGCTTTACCTGGCAGGTCATTGTGCAGCGCTGCCTCTCAGCCAAGAACATGTCTCATGTGAAAGCTGGCTGCACCATGTGTGGCTACCTGAAGCTGCTGCCCATGTTCCTCATGGTGATGCCTGGGATGATCAGCCGTATCCTGTACACAGGTAATGCCTTCTGCCAGACCCACTGGCAACCCACTCCCATTTCCTTGGCTCAAAGTCACTTCCAAAGCGCTAAGGTCTGCCCGCCCCTTTTCTTTTCTCCCCATATTCCTGCCATATTTTTGTTCTCCTGCCTTACACCACGGGCTGTGGGGCTTGTGCCAAAGTCTTCCATTGGCAATTGGTTTGCCCTCTTTTGTTCAGACCCTTTGAAGTCTTGCCTTGCTTCCAGGCATAGTTTCTTTCAGCTATTATTTGCTCATTTATTGCTTAATCCACTCTCCCCTGCCCCCACCAGGGCTGGAGTGATGTATATGATGCCCTTCTTAATGTCCAAAGACCCCAGCCAGTCTTTGCTTGCCTGCTGCTCTGACCCTTACTTTCTGGGTTTTTTCCCCTGGAAGAAACCCCGAGGTTTGCATTTTGGCATCCAGGGTGATAGCCTCTTCATGGCCCCTTTGTAGCCTTTGCAGGATGGCTGGCTGCATGTCTTTTTGTCAGTCAGCACGGGTCAAAGCAGTTTCCTGGAATGTGGCACAGCAACTAACGAAAGACAACCACAAACCACTCACTGTCCTCCAACGCAGCCCTGCTCATGCACAGTCGTTGGGGAGAGTCCCCCCCACAGTGTCCCTACAGGGCAGAGCAGAAGAGCAAAACTGCCCTCTGGGGTTTCTGAGGCTTAGGTCTGGATCGCAGCAGAAGTCTTCATCTTCTCTCATGAGAGTTTGAACTGCTGACCTTGCAGTCAGCAGCCCAATTCATAGCCCGCTACACAATCAGGTCTCCTAACATGAACAGTAGAGGGAAAGTTTGGTGAGCAACCTCCAAAATTAGGACAATAGGGGGCTGTCATTGACTGAATGTTTCTGATAGGACTTCCACACTCCTATCCTGGCTCATGTGTTAAGATGAAATATATGCAATTGAATATAACATGCATCAGAGTATTTTTGGTTATATCCCTTCAAAACCCTACATCTGTTGCAGTCAAGTAAAATTCTGACTCACAGCGACCCTACAGCACGGAGCAAAATTACCCTATGGAATTTCCCAGGCATTACAGATAGAAGCCCTGGGGGTGCAGTGGCTAGGCTTCAACTACTAACTCAAAGGTTGGCCGTTAGAACCCACCAACTTCTCTATGGGAAAGAGATGAGGCAGTCTGCTTCCTAAAGACCACAGCCTTGGAAACCCCATACGACAATTCCACTTCGTCCTGAAGGGTCGCTATGAGGCAGAATCACCTGAATGGCCATGGGTGGTTTTGTTGTTGTTGTTACTTTTTTTTTTTTTTTTACAAAACAGACTAACCACATCTTTCTCCTGTGGAGTGACTGGTGGGTTTGAATGTTTTGGTTAGCAGCCACCAGGGCTACTCTTAAAATGGCTACAACACACATCTACTTATAAAAGTATAGAGCAGCACTAAATAAGGTATAGCTGTAGTAAATACTTCATAAATGGTTGTTGCTATTAATTCTATATAAATTTCTAGAACTCTACCCTAGCCTCATTAACATCACACGCAAGTGAAATGTTGCTGGACGTCATCCAACAACAGTTGCAGCACTACATTGACAAGGAGGTGCCAGAGGTTCAGGCCAGATTCAGAAGAGGATGCTGTGTTAGTCCAGGTTGACTGAGAAACAAATTCATAGATACTTATATATATAAGAAAAGATTTAGATAACAGAGCACTTGAATATTGAGAAAACATCTCAACCCAGTCCAGATCAAGTCCATAAGTCCCATATTAGCCCATATGCCCGATATCAGACTATAAATTCTTCTTCAGACTCACACAACACAGGCAATGATGCCAAATGTAGGGATATTACAGGCCAGTGAGTGGAAAGTCTTGTGGCTCCAGTGGTGGTAGAAGCATCTCAGCACTAGCATGGGTCTCCATATGGCTCCTCCAGCTCCAGGGTTCTGGCTCCATCAGTGGAGCTCCGTGTGGCTTGTTAGCAGGAATGTCTCACAGGGAGAGTATGTTTCCTGCCTCCATGGAGGAAGACAGGATTTCCCAGAATCCTTAGGAGAAGGCCATGCCCAAACAGAGGCTTCGTAGGCTATGGCCTGGTTGATAGGCTAGCCTCCACCCCTTTCTAAAGTTGACAGTAGATTATGTAACTGCCACAGGTGTGGAACAAGGGATATTATTGCTGCTGTCAGCTGGATCTTGGCGGAAAGCAGAGAATACCAGAAAGCTGTTTACTTGTGTTTTATGGGACCTTAGGGATCATAACAATCTATTGTCTTGAGAAGAATGAGAATCCCAGAACACTACATTGTGTTCATGAAGACCAGTTTAAAAAATATGTCATCCCCCGCGGCCGCCCCCCCGCTGCTGCTGCCATGTCTGTTTGCTAATATGACTTTTCTTCCTGCCCCAGAAAAAATTGCCTGTGTCCTCCCCTCGGAATGTGAGAAATATTGCGGCACCAAGGTGGGCTGTACCAACATCGCATACCCAACCTTAGTGGTGGAGCTCATGCCCAATGGTAAGAGATGATACCTGCTGATAGCATCTCTTTGGGGAGGCCAGTTGACCTTGGTTTGCATGTAGGTTTCTGTGGGGTGGGCTTTCTGAGGTGGGGTGAGAAGGCAGCAGGGAAAGCCTCGACTAGGTGCCTCTCATTTTTGAATTTGCCCTCTCCCAGTGCGATGTGTTTTAGGGTACAAAGAGACCTCAATCTCAAATATAATTTAAGGAAACATTTATCAGGTCGTAAAAGGGACAAAGACAACACAAAGACACAGACGCATCCTCCAAATGTGGGAGGCCATTGGCAAGAGATGGGAGTGGTGTGCAGGGGATCTCAGTCAGGGTGCTAGTCAATTAAAGCCTGGCCCAATGGAAACTGTCATAAATTCATGATTGGTGGCAGATCAATATATCACAGTTACAGGTGGGAGTTCAGAAGCGGGACTAGAATCAGGTTTGGGACACATGCATTAGGTTAGATAGAAGAGTTTACAAGATTGGTCCAGGACCTTCTAACCAAAGTAGGTTAGAATTGGTAGGGCACGACTAGTGACCATGTGACCCCCAGTACTGTCCCCAGTATGGTAATCTCCATCAAGGATAAACCCAGGTAAACCCCTGAGAGAGATTACCCCTCCCTGGGTCAGGTGGAGAAGGATAGAGGTAAACCAGTGCATTCTGTCTGGGGACAAGATTTTCTACCTCCTTAGTTAAAGATTAGAAGGAATTTGGTGGAGGTTGAATATATATGGGAACTCTACAAATATTTTTGGGTTTTCACTGTCATTTATAACTTTCTGCAAATGGGGTGCTCAGAATTTAAACTCTAATACAAAAGAATGATTGTGTTGGCTCTAGGAGTCATCAGACTTCAAAATGAGATATCTGAAACTTGTGCAGGAAAAATATGACCATTCTAATCTAGAAAGTCAAAGCTCTTAAACAGTTCTTAACATTGTTTTATGGTGCGAAAGAGATCCCAATCACAAAGATACTTTAAGGAGGACATTATTAAGTCTTACAAAAGACAACACAAAGAGGCAGGCACATCATCTGGATGAGGGAGGTCATTAGCGAGAGGTCACAATATCATTCGAGGATTTGAAGGCAAGATGCTAATTAATTAAGGCATGGAACAAAGGAAAATGTCACCAATCCATGATTGGTTACAAACAACTACATCACAGTTATATGTGGGACTACAGGAGCAGGAACCGTGATGAGGACATGTACATTATGTTAGATAGAAGAGCTTGCAAGATTGGTGCAGGGCACACCTGTTAGGGCATGACTCATGACTCTGTGAGTCCTTGCCCTGTCTGCAGTACAGTGGTCTCCAGCAAGGACACACCCACGCAAGCCCCCCTAAGAGAGACATGAGGATAGAAGATCAAAGGCAGAAACCTGATTTGAACGGTTAAAACTTTGTCAGTTGATCTCCTTTCTGATGCATGCTGGACTTGATATGGTTTCCAACATTTTATGTACTTTGGTTTTATTTTGTTTTCATTTGTTTATATTAGGGTTTATCTCAGAGGTCTTCTGTCACTGGGGGTCACCCTCTTGAAGTTGGGTTATATGTCTTTCTGTCTTTTGGCATATGAAACCTAGGATTGATGAATCTATAGGGACAGGAAGTAGAATAAGGGTTTTGGGAGGCGGGGGGCTAGGGCGGGGTGGAAAGTGGTAAGAGGGAGACAATGTCAAGGAGACCAGGAAGAAAAAGAATGTTTGGAAACTGATTGTGGTAGCAATTGTACAATTCTGCTTGATGTGATTGAACTTTAGAATGACATGATATATGTATTAACTCCCAATTAATAATAAATTAAAATAAATATTAAAAATTTAAAATCAAATAAAAAAGAACTAGAAAAAGAAAATAGAACTTTATCTTTTGAATCCTAGTTTGAATCTCTTTCTGTTGTATCATGAAAATGTTATATCACGAATCTCTGGGGTGGGAGATGTAGACCAGTCCCTAGATTGAAATTCACATACTACTACCTCCATCACCATCACTATCATGATCAAAATCATTGTCGTCATCATCATCATCATCATGCAGTTACAAAAATATTCACTTCATCCTTTGTTGTCCGCTGCACTCACTGTCATTGAATCATTTTCAACTCATAATGACCCTAAAGGACAGAATGGAACTGCCCCACTGTAACTCTTTATGGGAGTAGAAAGCCTCATTTTTATCCTATGGAGCTGCTGTTTGTTTCAAACTGCTGACCTTGTAGTTACTAGCCCAACTTGTAACGCACTACACCCGCAGGGCACCTTGTTCTTTGCAGAAGGATGAAATACTGTAAAGCCATGGCCTATTCCTTTACATGTGCAGTCTTTCAAGAGAGCTGTATTAGGGAGCACGGCACTTTCAGAAGGCTCTCCCACAGTCCTAGCACAGAAGAGTTGAGGTGCTATGTGTGCCACTCCATATCTCCTTTCCTCCTCCCCAGGACTGCGAGGCCTGATGTTGTCTGTCATGTTGGCTTCCCTCATGAGCTCCCTGACCTCCATCTTCAACAGCGCCAGCACCCTCTTCACCATGGACATATACACCAAAGTCCGGAAAGGAGCATCGGAGAAAGAGCTCATGATCGCTGGCAGGTAAATGCTGCTTCCCCCTGCCATGCACTAAGCCAAACTCGAATGGCCAGAGAGGCTCTGGCTGTGCTACCCTGAATCCACGGAAGATTGGCTGAGGCCTGAGTAAAATTGAGTAATTTTAAATTGGAGATCATCCAGTTGTTCCTCTGGTGCTACAGAGATTTCTGGACCCTAGAGATTGTCTAATCAAATTCTCATGTTATTGATGAACTAATCGAGACCCAAAGAAGAATCCTGTTTCAGCCTACGTGGGCCATGGTAGAGCCAAGATTAGAACCTGTGGTATACTGAGTCCCTGTTCAAAGTCCTGTATGCTGTCCTCTGCTCAGCCAGTAGCTCTCTATACTGGCCTTTCTGGTTTTGAGGTTCAGACCCTTTAATTAAAGGGTTCCATCAACAGAACCCATTTGAAAGTGGAGTTAGACTGTACTTATGACTATGCACTATGAAGTCTCATACATTGTGCTAAGTGCAAATTTACTATCATCTGAAGGGGTAATGAACTCAACAGGCTATACAAGGCAGTGAAACAATGAGACATCGGTCAGGTGTGCTTATTAGCACGGTTGTTCACGAAGCAGATGCTCTGGGTAGGGATTTAACAGAAACTCTGCTGTGTCTCTCCATGGATCCCAGGCAAGTCAACTTCCTTAGGTCACACGTCCCTGGGCTATCAGCTCAGGAAAACATTCCACTGAGGTGCCCAAGAGGGGTATGGATTCCCACCTTATAGTTTGTATTGATGAATTATTTAAAAAATTATCATTGATTCTTACTATGAGTCAGAATAGACCCGATGGCAGTGGGATTTGACTATTTGACTATTATTTGTTAGGTGTTTCCCTGTAACTGATCCGTATTTCAGCCCGGTGAGGTTGGTCATATTATCTTCAGTTTCCAGAGGAGGAATTAGCAGCTCAGAGTGGTTATCTTAGAATTTTCTAGGTAAACAGTACCGTTGGTGGTGCAAATGGTTAAGCACTACTAAACAGAAGGTTGGCAGGTTGAATCCCTACAGAGGTGCCTCCAAAGAAAGGCCTGGTGATCTATTTCCAAGAGGTCATGGCCACTGAAAAACCTATGGAGTGCAGTTCCATAAGTCTAAATGGACTTCATGGCAACTGGTGTTGTGTTTGTGCGTGTGTGTATATGTGTGTGTATCTGCCTCTGTAGAGTGAAGATTTGGCTCAT